AAGATGTTAATATATACAGATATCCCCGTGTAACACGGTATTTAGGTTCCGAAAAAGTGTCGTGTTATACGAAACAAAGGACTAGTACTGTACAAAACAGAGTTATGTTCCAAAAGTTAACTAGAGTATACTAAAATCCATGGGCAAATATATATATATAACTGTTGTATTGGAGCAAGCTATAGTAATATGAGTCGACCACGTATTTTCTGGCACTTCTTAATCTAGGAACGGAGCCTGCCAAAAAGTCGGCATTTGATCCATAATTTGATATGATTGGGATCAAAATTTAGTATGCCTATAAACATACATTGTAGACATTAAAGGTTCTGTTTAGCTATGTTAAATACTAACTGATAAAAATATTTATAAGAATTCTTTAAATATATTTTCATACAGAATGTTTTAGATTTTATTATTTATTTTTTTATTAAGAATATAGACAAGTTTAAATTGATAAAAGATAAAACAATTTGTATATTTAACTATTCAATCAAAAAGTATCTAAATATAAATAAAGATAAGGAATATATTAAATTAATGTACAGAAATTATTTTAAACTAATGCAATGTTAACAATATTATCAATAAAAATCAATTACTTTTTAAATAATCTTTCTGTAAAATATGATAATATTTCATCAAGTTGAGCAATAATAGCATTATAATTGTGCCTACATTATGAAATCAACAAAGTACAGGCTTTTTACACAAATCATTACTTATTCCAATATTTGTATATAACAATAAAACACGCATATAAATAAAATATACTATTTAAATTTATAAATTATTATTAAAATAAGTAAGATTATATTATAATCTTGAATCGGTATCATTCTTATCAAACATTAACATTTAATTATTGCGCAATAATGAGCAATTGAATAGCCATTTATTCCTCACTAAAAATTTATTCTACGCATTATAATGCTTCCTTTCTTTGATTTGAAATATGTATAAATATTATTTTCCTACAAGAAATTAGTTGAATGTTTTAAAATTCCAAATCATCCTGCCACAGCAAAATATCTGGAATGTATTCAAAACATTCTGAAATGATAAAATTTTAAAATCTTTTATCACTAATTTAATGTAATTCTTGAAAAGAAAAATCTTTAATCAATTTCTGAGTTTATTACAAATATATCATGAAAAATAATAGGAGATATGAGTGGCTAACAGAGAAGACACCATAATAGATGATGGTTTAATAAAGAATAATAGAAGCCATGCCAAAAGAATGGATGAGAGAAGAAGACCAAGAGCAGATAGGGAATCATTTTTGAAATCATTCCTCCATCTCTCCTAGNTTTGATATAGCACCACCTCGATATAAAAGTTTGTTACTTTAAAAATGTTTGTTACTATCAATAGATGGCGGAACTTTACGAAAATAAAATAATTTTCTCCTCGTATGAAAGAATATAGGCCTATATAGGCTATATATATATATATATATATAGTGCCTCTCTTCATTTGATCTTAGTTATAAATTTTTTGATACTTATAAAACACTAAAAACATAGTTTATGTCCTATATTTACATTGTCTGTTGGGATGTCTGTTCGCAAGAAATGAATTGAATTGATAAAATTCCTGAAGAATACAAAAAATCCAGCAACGAGTTCCCTAAGTTTCCCAGCAAATTTTATCTATTATGATTTTTTATTTTAAAAACTTTTTATATTTTTAAACTTTTTGCCATTTTATAATAGTTAATTTTCGGGGTAGAGATGGATTTTATAAATAAATATATATATATATATAAATGCTAATAACGAATAAAATCGACATTAAAAGTCCGACCTACTGGAGATAGACACGACCCCCCTTTATCTCCCCACCCCTCGACCTTTAACCACCAAAATTAATTAGCATCAATACCCCTAACAAATAAACCTTCCTGCAAAATTTCAGAAATTTTTTACAGAAAGCGCAGGAGTTATTAAGCTTCAAAAAGAGCGAATAAGACACACACGCACACATACAGTAACATTCCCTACATATAGAATAAAAACCCGAATTTTTTTGTCATTTCTCGACATTTCAAGATCCCCGAGTCCAAAAATATAAAAATTTAGGGGTCATTTTTTGACAAATCGCCATACTTTCCATCTTCTATAACCTATATAACAGCAGGGAAAGCAAAAGTTATATTTATCTATTTTCCTTGGGGGGTTTTTTTAAACTCTTTCCACCCTGTGAGATTTTGATTTAAAAAAATAAAATCTGTTTAATTGTCAGTTTTAAAAAATTCATTCGTTAATAACACAATAATAACAATAATTATACTATAATAGGAATTACGTCCGATTGCTTATCAATGGAAGAAAACGACAATATATTTATATTTGGTAACAGAATTTCCTGTTTTCATAATAGAAATGAATAAAGTAACGTTTAAAATAAGCATTTTAATATTACCACTCTAAGGATTAATCATATTAATTTCGTTTAAAAAACGTATTATTCTTGGGATTTTTTTTCTCGTAATTTTATCTATAATTAATTTTATTCAATAAATAAATTTAAAAATTAAAAATTTATCAAAAGAAAGAAAATGCTACTCTTGAGTATAAGGTTAATTTGCTGCTAGATACATCGGTAGATAAATGTTGCCTGTAACGCTTAACTAGCCACCACCATTCATAGATTGGTAGATAAATGCCGTAGTCTTGGATAAATCGATAAATATATAGTACCTCAGTTGCAAATATTTTGGCGCCTATCATTGGCCGAGTGGATAAAACAACCGAACACTGGTAATTGATCACAAGTTCGGGCTATTGGATATATCCAGGTCTTTTTACTTGTCTAATACCTAAATAGGGATAGAGTCGTCCCGAGAGGCATCGTCTACGTGTTAGGCATTTGAACAAATTCGTTTAATTTTTTGAATAAATCGCCTATTATTTCATTTTCGAAAAAGATTTTTTTTTATAAGTCAGTGAAGTTGGCAACATTGAAAAATGTATAAGTAACCTATCGCCATCTGTTAAGTAATATCGGTACTAGTTTAAAAATAATAATAATTTTTGATAGTAATAATTTTAAATGAAATATTCCTGTATATGGCTGTCAAAATTTTCAGAATTATCCATATATAAGATGTTATTTATTTATATCAATTTTTTTAAAATTATCTGTTAGGTTTCATCGATTTTTGAAAATACACACACGGTATAAAATCAGTATAAAATAACTTACAATGATCTAATTCACCCTCAGCAGAACAATTCAAAATATATCACTAAAAATACCTTTTTTGTCTGCTGAGGTTCGTTTTATTTAGCAAACGTTTTCAAACTATTAAATAAGCCATCCTCAGGTAACATTTTCCTTGGAACATCTTTACCGTTAAATATCGTTCCAAAATAAATACATAAACAGAATAAAAAAAAGAACAACAACAACGTTTAAATATCTGAATATAATGCAAAAATAACTAAAAAAATTAACATAAATAATGAATAATAGTGAAATGAATGAGTGTAGTTAGAAAACGTTTGCTAAATAAAACGAATCTCAGCAGTAAAAAGGTGTCTATGTTATTTTAAAATATATCACTATTCTAAATAAAAAAATGCTTTTTACAGAAGTAGAACTTGTAAAAAAATCTCAAGTGCTAAATCCACCACTGGTCAGTATTCTTAGTGATGACATTCTAAATGACATTGCAGAAGCACTGTTACATAAAAAAATATCACATTTCATGAAAGTAAAATATTACATACCCGCATTCTATTACTATTCACTAAATTTAATGAAATTAACACAAATTACAATTCAATTAGCAATTGCGGCTAGTAGTAATCAATGGTAAAAATTGAACTTCTACATCGTCACGACATCTGGTGGATACTCGAGTAAGCTTAACCATTTCGCCAACGTCTTCAATAGAAAGTGGTATCACCTGTATTCTTCCATCATGTTTCAGATTTAAAATATGCCAGTTCATAGTCGTCGAATTACAGAACACCTGACTAAGGTTTCATACTCACGTGTAAATAATATTTAAGATAAATATATCCTTTTCTGGACAAGAAAACAAATATAGATTTTTAATAATCAGACTTTTAATTCATTTTTATAAATTGTTCAAATATATAGCAATTTCTCGTGTAAGTTGAACAACAACATAACTCCACCCATTCTAAAACCATTTTCTGTTATTCGCTCTAGTTTTATTACATAAATTGCAGACATTGGCGGATTTCTTTGAAGGCGTGTAAAAAAGGCGTGTCATTTTTTGTATAATCCAATAGAAGTACAACGATAGTTCTAAGCTAAATTACTGATTTAGAAATAATTTAATATCCCGTAGTTAATAATTTTTTTTATATTCATTTATTATCAAATTGATTATGTTCTTACAAATATATAATTTCCTTACACATATCTTAATTAATTCAAAATAATTTATTTTACTGATTCTGAAATAAAGGACGGATCAAGATACACGAGATTAACTATAGATAACTTCTCCTTGATCAAAGTTGGATGAAATAACGAATTAGTGAACACGTTTCCGTAATTTCGATTGCTGTTAACGATCTTTTATGCTATTCAAACTTTCATTGTCTTATCGTTAGGATTTAAACACCTGAAAATACTTTAGTACTTGTCTTTTTTTCAACTTCTGTTCCAGATAAAACTGTAAATGACTATAAAAAGCCCACAAAAAACTAATCCGTCTTTGTGGGCAGCTATAAAAATACTTTAAAACGTAATGTTAAGTTACCAATAGTTATCCATTAGATTCCTCTATTTCCTTCGAATATAGCCTAACCAGGCATACCATAATCATAACAACTTAAGTGATTTTTGCACCTGCCAAAACTATCATTTTCTTCAGTATCTCTTCTCCTAAATGACAAATTATACATAGTAATCTATGTTTATAAGTCATAAATATAACTCATAAATATAAATAAATATAAACATAAATATAAGTCAACATAAATAACTAGTTTAAGTTATTTATGTTATGCCAATTTTTATTAATTGTTTTATTTTGTTTATATTTTCATTTGCGGTATAGGATTCTTTAAAATGTGGAAGTATTTTGTGCCTTTTTTTGTATTTAATTACAACCAGTCAAATAATTTCTTTTATTATATTAAGCATTATTTAGCCTAAAAGGCATTTTTGTAAGTAAACAGTAAATAAATTTATTCCTTCGCTTATTTTTTAAATAAAATTTTCATTAATTTACATGAAATTTGAACGATTGACGATGACAATTTATTTTTAGTTTAATAAAATAAATTCAATTGTTATCAATACGAAATTATAAATAAAAATTACGCGCTATTTTTGAGTACGTTCATGATATTAAAATTAATAAAATTAAATTCTTTTACATTTATAAACTTCACGAGTTATTTCGTGAGAATAAATTCGATTTTTGGAAGATAAATGCTCGTCTTCCACGGAAAATCCAGTAATCGAAGTCGATCTGTCTTTAACAGCCTTAACTTGTAGTTGCTTATTTCTTTTAGGGGTGGGTGGACGATGAGGAAGAAAAGGTATGTGATGCTTTTCTTGAATTGTGGCAGATTCCGACTCGATTCCGCCATCAACTAACTTCTCTTTCGATCTCTCTGGATCTATTATAGTTATGGATGATGTCGAAGAATGCATGTCTTCATCTATAATTTGATTTATTATCTCCTTGTATTCTAATTTTGGTTCATCTTGATTTTTTTTAGATGAACTTTCTCGTGTATTTTTAAATATTTTCATCGATTTACGGTTATTTTTATCATCTTTTGTATTTTTTTCCATCTTTGTTCTCGAATTATTGTCGTTGCTTTCTGCTTCCGGATGATGTTCCGTAATTTTTTTCGCTTCTTGCATATTGGATGTTGCAGATTCAGTTTTGTCTACACAGCATTTGTTTCGTTTCACTAGATTTAAAATTTTTTTCATTCTTCACACTAAAAAATAAATTTTATCCAGATATAAATTTGAAGTCACAAGTAGACTGGAAGTACTGTACAGTACAAAGCTATTTCTTCTACTCGTAGAAGAAAACGTTAATATATTATTAGGTAATAGTATTTCATTAAGTTATAAGAACATATTATTGACTTTATAACAGAGTACCCAAATGTCAGGAATGTTAATTACCATAATAGGAAAGACAACCAAATCTAGGAGAAACTGAAGAGGATTGCGTAACAAAAAGAATGAAATAAATGAGATTAAAGCAAGCTAAGAAAGTGAACAGAATGCTTTTGATGTATTAGCTGCAGCAGTGTAAATTCTTCAAAATTATTTAGCGAAGAAGAGGAATTTAATTCTATACACAGATTTACTTTCATATTCATCCTCACTTTTTTCTTTAATACAGTAAATTTTAATATGACAAGTTGAATTTTAAGTAGATTTTTAGAGATTTTTGTAAATAATCGCAGCCAACCATAATTATATTTAATTATTAAAAATTTGTAAATTATAACCAAAAAAATAAAACATTTGACTGAGAATTACCTTTTAAACTTTTCGCTTTTTAATAATAAATTTTTTTTAATTATTAAAAAACTTTTCTTTAACAATATAGAAAAATTTTACTTTATTGTTTACGAAAAATCGAGTATTAAAATCCCTAAAGTGCCACATTACGATGCAGATTTCTTCATTAATAAACGTTATATTTGGAAACATTTCCTATTTTTAAAACATTTTATCATCGTTTTTCTCAAGTGATAAATTACTGTTAAAAATTTATTTATAGGCTAATATCTATTGTTAATTTGAAGAAATGGGAGATAATTTTCTTAAATTATCTCCCATTGCAATTGAAAGTTGTATAATAATTTCTTTTAAAGTTTAAAATTACGAGCATTCTTAGTCAAAAATCACTATTTTTCACCCCTATCTTAATTGTACGGTCTGATGAAATTATTTATAGTCTCGCAAAAGAATTTTAAACCGTAAAAAGAAGAAAAGTTATACAATTTTTAGTGTTTCAAATATTTCGTGAAATTAAAATATTCTACTACATTCAAAACTGTTTCGAATCTTTATGTAGGCCTATATTTTTTCCTCGTAATCTAGGCATAAAAGAAAGTAAACAAGAATGAAAGTTGTCGACCGAGCACCGAGATAGTGGAAGGTGGGGCAAAATGAGAACGTTTAAGGTTTGAAAAGTCATAAGATGGCAACTACTTTAATGAGAACAACAATTTTTTTATTCTCAGCAACTACAACATTTGGTAATATATAATAAATTTAATTTTTGAAAAACGTTTTTAAAAACAAGAAAATTTAATATTTTAAAATTATATGTAAATGAACCGTCTTGCCCCACCCGTGGGGTAAGATGGGGATATTATTTTTATATACAAGAAGGATAAATTAAAATGGTTATAGCCTACTGTCGTTTTCTTCAATATTGGCACAAGAACAGTTTGCCCATTTATCACAACGGCTACATTTAGTTCAACTCTCTGTAAATACAGAGTATAACCCTCCACANACATTTCCTATTTTTAAAACATTTTATCATCGTTTTTCTCAAGTGATAAATTACTGTTAAAAATTTATTTATAGGCTAATATCTATTGTTAATTTGAAGAAATGGGAGATAATTTTCTTAAATTATCTCCCATTGCAATTGAAAGTTGTATAATAATTTCTTTTAAAGTTTAAAATTACGAGCATTCTTAGTCAAAAATCACTATTTTTCACCCCTATCTTAATTGTACGGTCTGATGAAATTATTTATAGTCTCGCAAAAGAATTTTAAACCGTAAAAAGAAGAAAAGTTATACAATTTTTAGTGTTTCAAATATTTCGTGAAATTAAAATATTCTACTACATTCAAAACTGTTTCGAATCTTTATGTAGGCCTATATTTTTTCCTCGTAATCTAGGCATAAAAGAAAGTAAACAAGAATGAAAGTTGTCGACCGAGCACCGAGATAGTGGAAGGTGGGGCAAGATGAGAACGTTTAAGGTTTGAAAAGTCATAAGATGGCAACTACTTTAATGAGAACAACAATTTTTTTATTCTCAGCAACTACAACATTTGGTAATATATAATAAATTTAATTTTTGAAAAACGTTTTTAAAAACAAGAAAATTTAATATTTTAAAATTATATGTTAATGCACCGTCTTGCCCCACCCTTGGGGTAAGATGGGGATATTATTTTTATATACAAGAAGGATAAATTAAAATGGTTATAGCCTACTGTCGTTTTCTTCAATATTGGCACAAGAACAGTTTGCCCATTTATCACAACGGCTACATTTAGTTCAACTCTCTGTAAATACAGAGTATAACCCTCCACAATAGAGGCATTCTGTATCATTTGTATTTTGTTTCTTGTTAGGCCCACCCTTGCTGAAGGGGTCTGTTTGTCGTCTCTGCAGCAAAAAAAGTCTGCTCCAAAAATACTTTTAAATTCATAGGCCATATTCATGATTAACCTGGTGCTAGACGGGTACCCCATCTTGCCCCAATGTACTGTAAAGTACAGTACAGTACACTTTCCATACTGATTGCAAACACAGGTAAATTTCATTTCAAAACTAAACAATTACAGTCTTAAGGTTACTTCGAATACCATAATATCTTCATCTAAAAAGTAATGTTAAAAGTTAACAATGATACTTACTTTGTAGAAACTTTTTAGCAGGCATAAAAATAGATGAAGTTTTGCTGAAACATGAAAAAGGTATTTTACTTCCAAACAAAAAGCGATTTGGACGTTCTCTCGCTCCATGATCCCTTTCGAGGTAGACATTTAGTTTCCCAAATAATAGCTAGATAAAAGAACATTAACCGCAAATAAACAGACGTCCCCGTCTTACCCCATGACCCAATCTTGCACCACCTTCCCCTATATATCTACTGTAGGTGTTCTATAGAGGGACCGAACTTACTTCTAAAAGAACACCCGACCCCTGAATCTATCCTAAACTTTCGTTTACAATTAAAAAAAAATTAAAAATAAAAATAATTAATTTTACCATTAAAAAAATACATCTACAATTTCTCCGCACCATTTACACGACTAGCACACACGAAAATTACGAAAGTTTCATAACGAATAGGATGATCTTTAGCTGGAAGTACAGCATTTACAGGGCGTGGCATCGACTCGACCAGAGAGATGCTCAAGCGCATTCTTCCTGCAAAATATTCCTTAGCTGGCTTAGGATACGTTTAGGCGATGAACAAAGCGGAAAAGAAAGCACCGTCCTTTGTAAATACTGCTAAATGTACGGATAAATGTTAATTTAACGCAACGTAACAGTAATTGCGATAATTTTAAATTCTAAGGATTTTCCTTGTTTGTTTCTTCTTTCACTGAAGATAATTCAAGTAAAAAGAGGGACTATTTCAAAAGAGACATTTGAAGATCTGAAAATAAAATTCCAGATTGAACATTTTTTCTCCATTCCTAAAATTAAAGTCTAATAATTAAAATAAAAACAAAAATATTTTTAAAAATTTACATAGATTTCGTAAAAATGTACGGTAAACCACACAAAATAAAAACTGATATTTTAAAAACGATTAACTAACTTATGTGACATATATAGCTATTTTTAAGCGTTTGAAATTCGTATGCATTAACAATTTACAGTATATTTGACATTAACTAAATATAACATTCTTATAATAATAATAGAAATGCATGAAATCTGTTAATATAGATTTAACTGAATAGTAAAGCTTCAGAATACGAATTATAGATATTCAACAAAACATTATATAAATTACTCACCTTCGAGATGTTTTATGTACAGTACCTTAGTAGATGACAACGAAACTATCCTTACTAAACTAGGTAGAATCGTTTAAACTACAATTTATATGTTATTATTACAACTTTTCCAGGTACAGTACAGTACGGTACTTCCACTTTATCTTCATAATACGCAGTAGTTGGAGTAGAATGTTTTTCATCCAAAACCATCCTTTTAAAATTTTAAAAAATGCTTTATTATATAATACCTACTACACAAAATTGTTTATTATACGAATTGATAATCAAAATTTGAGATTCATATAAAGTTATATAAAATTAATCTCTCTTACTTAAAACATTCCATCGAGGTTTGATTTGTTCGTATTGTTCGATTTGACCAAAAAGATACACGAAGCTGAAAAATTCAAAGAAGTTAATTTGTTTCTCTTATATATATATAGGGGAGACCGGGGCAAGATCGGCATGTTAAGCTTTACTTAAATTTTGTGTAATAAATACTGCTGTAAACTGAAAAAAAAGCTTTGCATTTGTCTATTCGAATGTTACCTTACTATATTACTGGTTAAAATCAGTTTGGAAATAAAAATAATTAAAATAATTACAACTTTACAAGAAGAGAGAAATTGACGAAGTTGCCCCGGGTATAGGGGCAAGATCGGCAACTTCTCTCTTTTTGTAAAGTTGTAATTATTTTAATTATTTTTATTAAAGTTGCCCCTGGTATAGGGGCAACAGTAATGGGGCAAGATAGGCACGTATATAAAATTATGTTATTAACAATGTATAAGTTGGAATTCACTATTAAACAAAGAAATACAAATCCAACACCCATTTAATATTATTACAACGAAATGCATGTTCAAAGACATATATACATGAATAACAAATGCAAACATGTTTTCATTTATCATCTGTTTGATTTTTATCCTTTGCTTCTAATGTGGCTTTATGTTGCCGATCTTACCCCGCTAGTCATGATTTCGAAACATTAAGTACAACCCCGAGAACAGAATGCCAAGCCACGATCTGGCCACGTGAATAAGTTGAAGTTACATCCTTCTAACAGGAAAAGTAACTTTCGTTATCATGGAATTATAACAAAACCTGCCAATTCAATATAAATGGAAAAAAAATATTATATGGAATTGAACGAAAATGAAAATTTGCTTGATAATTCAACTACGCTTGTTGGAGAACAATAAAAACACTACACTCAACAAGCCACCAATAAAACTCAACTGCCTAACCTATAACCAAAGTCTCCTTTTAATTTGTTTTTTAAAAAAAGCGCTTGACAAACTTGCCCCGCATGCCGAAGTTGCCCCGGTCTCCCCTATAGTAGGAGTGTGTTTATATCTAATATTTTGATAATTTGAAGTCCGGACAGGAGTAGGCATGTTTCGTCAAGTACACGAGTGTAATGGCAAAAGACAAAGTATTATATAAAGTATGTCGTAACGTCGATGAAAGAGACGAAGTCACAGTAAACGGTGTATTGATAGTAAAACATTGTACCGGGCTTATCTCGCTTCCGCTACGTATTAGCTAAATACATGTGCCCGAGAGTTCTCGCGGGTCAAATACTATCGCAAATTCCAAGAAATATAACGGTACAGTTTGAATTACAAGTTTTCGAACGTCTCAAAAATCAGTACAAAACGTTTTTGTCCAATTAAAATATCCGGAAAAGCGGCGAATGCAGTAAGAAAAAAAAGGGGGTGGGAAACTGTGCGAGGCTTCTCTGCTTGGCATTGAGCACTCAAGGCAGTTTTTCCACAAACTGTATAGGCTATACAGTATACTTACTGTATTATATTCTCTATCTTCGAAAAGGACTTGTAACATGGCGACGTTTCATTACCCTTTATCGATTACGTGTATTCATTCATTTACTTTCTTGCGGACAGACAAAACGAATACAAATAGTTAATTAGTTCTTTACTTTGTATACTTAAAATATTTTATCAAATCGAAATACCATCTAGTAACGATTGATTCATGAAATATTTTAAAATAAAGGTTTAATTTGAAAGATATTTTTAAATTATGAGATGCTAACATTAATGAGAGAAATACGAAGTTAGAAAACCTTATGTAGCAGTTAAAATTGTTTTAATAAACCTATATTATTTACCCTTCATTAATTTTATTTCATCAAGAAAAAAAAGGTATATAAATTTCGTGGTGCACTTAACCTTGAATCTAGTAAAATGCTTAAAAATACTACAAATACGAAGATAACACCCTGTAAATAGAGAAAAAAGACGAGTGGAAGTTGTTGGCCCGATTCATCGGAACGTAACTCTCGTGATTCGAGGTCGTAACGTCACCAGAATTGATACACTACTGACGTGTGTTGATCTTTTGCCAAACAGAATCGACCGAACGTGACTTTGTAAGGCAGTTGACCCTGGAATCTATCCCAAATGTAATCTACAACACATCGGAACATAAACTGTTCTTCCAAAAACAAAAACCTAAACAGTTTAGTTTTTTTCTGCAACTGTATGTATATATATATAGGCTATATTGCACAACAGATAAAATGTTTAAAAAAGATGCATCATCATTTCATCCAAAGATGAATCTTTTTACTTTTGCATCTGGTACATTTTTAACTGGGAACACTATCTACACGACGAAATTCTCTATTAAAATTAAAACGATATAATAATTAACGATAAATTTTACGCGATTAATTTACAAATGGCAGTTTTATCTGAACATAATTCTTTATGCCCTTGAGTTAGATAAACTGTACGTAAACCAGGAAGTTGAATTTATCTGTTTATCGAAAGAGTCATTGTTTTATAAGCAAAACACGTGCGATGTATAGATAAAATGATTCTTAATTCAAGGATAGCAAAAATAGGCGTGATACGAAAGTAAAGTTATTCTAATAGCTATGTAACAATTGTGTTTTTATAATCAATCGATTACGAACAATTCCTTATTGCACAATAGTTAGAACAGAATATTGGTTAATTTTTGTTCAAATTGAAATTTATGAGAATTATTTTATCATCAATAGAAGACATAAAATAAACCCAATTTATTTAAAAAAATTGTTCGGATTATCTAGCGAGATGCGATCGATTTAATTAATTTAACTGATAAGATATTCCCTTTATTTTCGCAATTTTTTCCTCAAATAATTTATGAAGTATTAAATTTTATTCCTTCAATATCTAAAAAGTTATTTTTTTATAGTGGAAATACTTCAGAGCACAATCAATTCTGTAAATTTAACAATAAAATTTTTCGATATTTTTGAAATTAAAATGTCGGAAAAAAAAATCATTACCAAGTTCTGAATATGTTAACTTATATTTTGTTTTAGTTTAGAGTTTTTGTATTATCTTATCAAATAAACCTTGTATCGATAGGTTCCTATATCGCCTACTATTCCAGATAATAAATTTATAAGTATGGTAATTGATCATTTTAGTTGTCAAATTATATATTTGATAATAAAAATCAATTATTTAAACTTACGTTCTGCGATTAAGCCATATTTAAAAAAGTTAGATAATCAATTGATCATTAAAAGATGGACTTTCAAACCTTGGAAAGTTATCAGTGTTAAATTTTTTTCATTGATAAATTTCGTTTGTTTTACTAGGTTTTTCAATTTTTTAAAGGAAAATTTATAAATTGTAAACAGAACTTTGATTAGGAAAGAGCATTCACTCTAGATAGAGATTCAAAGTTAAGGACAAAAATATTTTGCTCGATATCACCTCCTGTTATATAGATTACTTAATTTTAAAAAAAAGCCTAGTAAAATAAAAACAAAGAATTTTTAAACAAGTATTCAACATTAACCCAGAGAAGAAGCGAGAAACATTCAACTTTACGACTTTAAAGTCGTAATAAAGAATTAAAAAAAAAAGGAGGAAGAAAGTCTTAATTATTTTGAGTATAACAAATGTACTGTACCAGCGAATGTTTAATTAGTAATGTTTAAACTGAAATAGCAGCGTCGTATAACTAATGTTAAAATTTGCATAAAAATAAACATCAGATGCCACTTAATTTCATATTAAATATTAATTTATTGAAGTTTTTTTTAGGAAAAAAAATCTGAAAATTTTATAAAATGTATTTATGTAAAATTTAATAAAAATCTATCAGAATTTTATCGAGTTTTATTTTTTGAAGTGAAATAAATCGACAAATAAAAATCGCGAATCAGCGACTCGACATAGCGACAAATTGCATCGCATTGCGATTTGCTATTTTTATTCCATTATCCTATTTTTACCAAGTGATTTGTAATGCTTATAAACAAATTCGAAGTAATAAAGGAAAATATGTAAATTTGCCACAGAATTATTTATTCTAAATTAGAAAGCTAATCTCTTATTAGTCTAACTTTTCCTTTCAATCACATTGTCTGCTATTTGTCATATAAATCAGGAAAAAATGGTGGTTTTTTTAGACGAAATAATGGTTTTAGATTATTTTTATACTATTTAAATTTATAAGATTCTTATAACAATTATAAAATATAATGCTCCATATTTTTTATAGGAATTATCATCAAAAGAACAGATGTTCATGCTTCTAATACGAAATATTTTGGTCTACTGGACACTTGACTTGTGGACTCTGCAATCCTTAAAACTTGATATTTTACAAAACTGACGCCAATGTCTCATCCCTGGTATTCCTTTAGTTTAAATAAATCTATTTTTATGGAGTATAAAATCTTCCTTAGAAATCTATCTAGATTTCGTTACAAATTAGATGAAATAAATCTTTGTTATATGCTTATTTCTTTATATGCAAAAACCTAGTACTTGAGACACCCCATATTAATATATAGGAGTAACTATTAGGACGTTAAAAACAGATTGCAGGGACATAAAGAGCATAAAGTATAATTATGTAAAGTATTTAATTGCCAAATTGTGTAAACAAGGGATGTAAATTTAAATAAAGCAAAATTTCAGTCGTCTTTGATACGTATTAAGTAAGCTTCTAGTTGTAAATTTCTATAGTCTGTAAAATAAGTTTTAAAAAAGTTATGTAATATTTATATGTTGAATTGTTAAATGAGGATGTGTGTTTTTTTTAAATGTTTTGATTGTTAATACACCAATTGTTAATGTTTATTATGTACTGGTCCCATAATGTAAGTAAAGTAAATTTAAAAAACAATTATATATATATTTTTTCTTTCTTTTATAATGTAATATAATGGAAACATTTTTTAATGATAGTATTTACTCCAACTGAAGAGGGACTAAGGTCCGAAATGTACATTTTGAAGAAAAAATAAATATAGAGTGAAGAATATCAGTGTGTCAATCTATGACCTGTGGGGTGATTGTCCTTCAAACATCGTCACGTTTTTATTGTTCATGTAAAGAAAAATCTTTGTTATAAATATCAAAAGCCTACACTATCTCGGTATAAGCTTATATTTTTGTAAAAATAGCTAGTTTGTTTTTCATCTCATTCTATTAATAAAATGTGAAAAAAGTCCAAGAACTTAACATGGATCTAAAATATTTCGTCTTCTTTCGAAACAAAGACAATTTTGCTTAAATATTTATAACAATGTTCAACTACGTAATATATTTTAAAATAAATTAGATCAATATTGACCCTCTTCTTTCAAAATACTTTGTTTAATTAATTTATATATTAATTAAAATAAGTTATTATATTACCACATCTAATGTTCTGTAAATTTAAAAACTTAATAGGTATTTTAACATAATAAAGTTAATTCAATCAATTATTTTTGCTTGCTTCGTTTCTACTCTTCCCAGGATAAAGGAATTTTCTACGTCAATAAACGAATTGAATTAAATACACATATTTAATAGTAAATATATAATTTCCAAAATAATTTTGTATAATGGATATTTGTAAGTTACAAGTATTATAATAAGTAGGCCTACAAGAAAATATTAAGAAAATGCTTATATTGTTAGTTATTTTTTACATTTGACCAAAAATTTCAATTATTTTCAGAAATAAGAAGGGTTTGTTTTTTTTTTTACTCGCATCCTTTTCCTTATATATCCAGTAAATATTATGAATTTTTTTCAGAAACCTTACTCAAGAAGCCAAGAAGTTTTCCCAACAAAATGAGAAAAAAAGATGTTTAATAAAACAAGAAGTGCTAAGCTTTACTGAATATATCAATAAATTAGAAGTTCTTGGGCTTAGAAACTTCAGGGTTTTTTTTTAATCTATGAATTATAGCTAAAATTATTTTAATTTTATAAAAAAAATATAGTCTATACTTTGAAAGAAAAACCGAATAATTTATTTGTAAACATACTCAATTATATTTTGAGTTTCCTTTAGCAAATTACGATAAGAGCTTCACAAGAATGACTAATATTAATAATAAATAATATTCTTATAATATATAAGCCATTTTGTTTTTTCAACAAAACATATCGGTAAGGCCCTTCATTTGAAACTATTTCTCGTTTAAATAAAATTTTAATTTAAATTCAGATTCATCCGTTTCTGTTAGACTTCTAATATTATTTAATATATAAATATTAATATTTTTAATAAAATTTTATGAAATTTTGTTATGTTTATTAAAATAAATTCATTTTAGTGTAGACAAAATACTTTCAAATATGACTTTAAATTGCTTCAAAATTATTTACAAAGAAAGCTAAACACGTTGTCAGCAAACTAATTTAAAAAACAAACTAAAATTATTTAATTCATATAAACAGATCTAGATAAAAAAAAAACTATTTCTCATCTTCCTTTAAAGGAAAAAACAAGTTATTAAATATTTTTACATTTATTTATAGATATACTCGAGTTAAACGTGAATAATGAATTGTTTATACGAATTCACATAAACAATACTGTATATTAATTATTATATATTCTAGAGTACACACATCCATTTAACTTTAAATTCAAAAATGTTTTTGCATCAAAATAACTATATCTATTTAGCAGTTTAGTATATTCTTAAATCAAAATGACACTCATTAAAAGAAGAAAACAAATTGACAATAACTTACAATGAACATTTATAGGAAACGAGTTATCAATTTGCGTAGTAAAAATAGCAGTTCTTATCAATGCATTCGAGAAAAATAAATTATTAAAAGCTTAAAAACAACTACCACTTTAACACACAAAACTAAATAAACTATACTTTTAGAATTAACAATATAGCCAACATAGCAAATGCTTATATATTACAATAATATTTCAACTCAAAATTTATTACTAAAGCAAACATTTAAACCTGTGTTAAAATAAAATAGGTCTTAATGATTAGAATATCATTACGATATTTTCTGATAAGTCCTTCTCTGACATTATACTCTGACATTTGCCTATTGCTCTTAATGAATAGCCAGTTATAGAAATATAATCTACGCCTACTATTTTACTATAAGTTATATGATGACATTAACTTCTAGGTAAATAAAAAAAAAAAAATTATAAAAATGTACTTTTGCAGAAGAACAGTTTTTCCAGTTCATTTAATGAGAACATAATACCCATTTTTCCCATAAAAATGATTTTTACCATCGATGATGTCATAAGTGATTCATTCGAATAATTATATAGATAACAGGAAATATCAAAATTCACCCACGTGATTATAAATCCACTCTCTTATTGGCTATCTTATAATAATAGCCCCACCCACTCATCATTTGCCGCTCGATACAACTAAAGAAAACGATACGAAGTAGTTCTCTAATAATACACATCGATATAATGAGAAATTAGGTAGACGAATTCATTTTATAAAAAAATCTTAGTTTCGACAATTTTTTTTCAAATTTTATTACCTTTTAAATTTATCCTATTTAGATATGATAGCGTACATTTCGGGACACTCGGAAGGATACAATTTTCTGAATGGGTGTAAGTAGTCTAGTGTGAATGTCGGCCATTTACTTCGCCGGCATTAGTCAGTCTCCCGATTCTATTATGTTGATGTGTGTACTATTTCGTGTTGTTTTATCAAATTCTGTTAAACAGCAAACTAAACACGGTCCGTCACCTCTCGATTCAGGAACGTGATCGTAATCGATCTTTAAATTTTATTTCTGATCCAAGTATTCAGGTATGTCCCGTTTTTTACATCGTACCACGCGATCTAACCACGTGGCAAAAAAGCTAGCCAATTTCAATTCCCCATTCCATTCAATTTACTCATTTTAAAAGGTCTTTCTCAGTATATTACTCAATGCTACCTTCTTGGAGTTCGAAGCTATCTTATCATAATTGATACTTTAATTTCCACAAGTACCGGTAACCGCGTATGATTGCCGCATATTGTGCAATATGGTATGGATTTGCGTGATTTAAACTAAAAATCAATTTAAAAACAAAACAAAAAATCATTTATTTATAATGCAATTTTTACAATTGTATTAAATAACTATTTAAATAATTTTATTTATTTGATTTTTAATATAGAGTTTTACAGTAGGAATGTGTACTTTAAGCTATTTTAGTAGTGTGTGTGTGTGTCATATACCTATAATTGGTGTAATTTTTTTTTCTGGTATATATATAATTTTTTATTTTATTATTATTTTTTTTAATACAGCATTCCTCTATTTGGGATTGACGACCAGAATCCATTATATTTGGAAAGTTATTCGAGTGATAACTTAGATGGTTTCGGTATGGCACCCGTACCGGACTTAAACGGTGATGGTTTTATGCCGTGCTCCGTTTCGAACTCAAATTGCTTACTTCAAGATGCGATATTAAATGACCCGGAACAAAGAGACGAAGAACTGTTCGAGTTAAGCCACGAAATCGGGATTAACACGCCCACGTCTCCGATTCCGTTCGAAGGATCCTATTGGAACGAAAACCCGAACTTGGTCGATTACGCATCCGAAGATCTAATTACAGAAATTATCGACAATAATGCAATTAGTACTTATGAAATGGACATAAGTGAGCTTGATATTCCTGCTATTAAGCAAGAGCAT